ATGATTAAATGATAAGTCTTGTCTTCTTCCACGAAAACTTTCACTCTATTCCCCATGAAGACAAACCTTTTATTTGGCCTTATGGTTTGGATTGGAAGAAATTCATATAAACATGAGTCATATATCCAGAACCAACCCATTATGTATTAGGTAGAAAAATTAGATTTGATTCAAAACATACATAAACATTAAACTTACCTTTCTTTTCAAACCAAACTTTACATTTTGGGCAACCTTTTGGAAATGTCCAAATTTGCCATAAAAATAATAATTATTGCCATTTGACGCTTTCTTCTAAATTTTCACAAATGTCTTATTAATATTTAGTGGTCATTTACCCTTATCATGTTTCTTCATAAATTTCTTTTTAACTCTTTGATTCCCTTGTTGAATAACATAATGAACCGCGTGACTCTCTTGATTCTTGTTTCTTCCAAAACCAACATACTATGCAATAATGTATATTTCATTTATCTTTTATAATATTTTAGCTCATTGAAAATGAGTCATACTCAAATGGTAATGAGTTTAGAATAAATTATATTATTTTAATGATATACTCATACATAATATATGATGGATCAAATTTCATGATGCACTTATTAATGTCCTAATAAGAGACTTATCAACTATTTATGAACGTTCTTCCACTAACTCTACAAACTTTTTAACACTTTAGATTCTGGAAAGAATTGTCTTAATATTATTAACAATCGTCATCCTTATGAACATTAAGCTAGAGTCAGTTAAATATTTTTCAAGTTTTATAATGAGTTTGTTGTTTATTATTGCTAGAGTTGATAATATCAATAAAATGTTCTTCTAATGTAACAATATTAAGATTCATAAGGTGAAATTAGATCCATTAAAAACCGGTACATATGATACACAATAATTCATTCATTAAGTTGGAATCTGGTAATGCATAACAAAGTTTCATATAAATTTTGAGTCATAAAACAGTTATACATATAATATTAAAAAAAAATGAAGTATATTGATGTCCTCCTTTCACTGATACAAACATAATCAATTAAAATATACACCTATTATAGTCACTTAATATTTTTAGGTATATAAATAAAACTAATGATGTATACAAAATTATTCACAATATACTCATTAATTTTAAAAATAATCAATCAACCTACCTTGTAATAATGAATTTTAATAAACCTATAAATCAATTAATATATACATAATTTAACATCATTTATTCTATAAGTAATTTATATAAATTATCATTAATTTAAAAATAAATAATTTTAAATTTTGTCACTTTTGTGACTAACTAAAATTGTCATTCAGTTATTTCAAATAATTATGTATTTTTTATTATTATTAATCATATATACATAATATTTTTCATTAGTTTTATTTTACACATATAATTAAATAATTTTATTACTATATTAAAATAATTAATTAAAAATTTTTAAACAAAAAATGTATTTTTAGAATTTAAATTATATTACTAAAATTAAATTTTATCTCAAATATAAATATTTAATATATGAATTAAAAAAAATAGTTGTATTCCAATTTTAAAAACTAAAAGTTTATTTATTATTATTATTCATTTTTTAAAATAATTTATTAATTAAAATAATAATTAATCTTAATCATCACATATTTAAAGCAAGTGAATGTGAAATCCTTACTTTAATATTTATCAGGTAACTTACATCATTATGATTAAAATTAGATATGGCAACGTTGAATCCGTAAAATCAAATAGCTAATAAGAATCCCTCGGTATTACGTTGCCAATTTTTTCACCGTGCCTCGTATATTCCCTAACCAATAATAGAGCACGCCTCAATGTATGAAATTGTTTCAATAATTTGACATAGTGCGTAACATTTATTTATTTATCAATAATCCATCTATAAACTATTTATCTGATTCATCACAAGTAAATTCATTCAATAATTTATTAAAAAAAATAGTTCAATTTTAAATTTATCAATTTATTTTTTATAAATAATTAAAATTTTATCTATTATTTATCAAAATCAAATTATCCTCTTATTAATACTTAACAGATTAAAATTATTTTAATAAATTTTCTATTATTAAATAATATTTATTTAATTTACCTTTCCATTTTTTTAAATTATTAAATATTTTATAATAAAAAATGTCAAATAGTAAAATATAATATGATTTTTAATTATTTTTACAATTTTAATTTATTTTATATTTATAAGTAAATTACATAATTTTATACTTAAACATTAAAATACAATAAATATAAATCAAATATAATTAAATTATAAAACAACCTTTAATTTACACATTCATACATTTTTTTCCGTTTTTTATTTTCATTCCTAAATTCATACCCATGCATATTTAGTTTAATTTTTATTTTCATTCTGAAATCGAACTACACTATTCTATTTAGGGAAATAAATTAAAAAAATCTAAACAAATTTAAATTTCATCCGTTTTTAAATTTTTAAACTGATTTTTGATTGATTAAGTTTCGAATACTTTATCAATATATATATTATTGAAAAGAAAGTCTAATTATTTTATTTTAATGACTCAATTCTTTCAAGCCATTTGAAAACAAAATTTAGAAAACGCATAAGTTTACTATTCATTTAACTAATATATACAAAGCATAGTTCGTCTCTTTTTTGGAATCAAACTACTTAAATTAATCTCTCCTACAACTATGGAAGTTTAAATAATAATGTGTATATAAATATATGAAAAAAAATATTTTTATGAAAGTAATATTCTTATCTAAAAAGAAATAGGTAATAATGTGATACTAACACATACGTATAACAAATTGATTTTTGTAATATATACAAATATTAAAGTTTCGAAACAAGATCATATTATTATTACTTCTTTTCAGATAGGAACATGAATTATTATTATTTTTATTTCTTCTATGAACGGACAAGAGAGATGATAAAAAAGGAAAAATAAAAGATATTACAGGATAAAAATTAGTTAAAAAAGAAAAAAATTAGAGAAATAACTTAGACAGAAGAGAATAATAAATATTAAATAAGTTTAACCATATAAAAAATATAACATTATTTACAATAAAAACATCTATATAATATATTTGTGAACTTTTTCATTTATATATTATTTAATTTTTTTAAATCAAATGTGATACTTTAACTCAAACTTGTATGAAAAATGATAACTTGGTGCTAATGCTATGTATAGTCAGAAAGGAGCCCTAAAATTTCAACTTCTATGCTCCAGCGTTATAGAACATGTTTAGGTCTGCATTTCTACAATCTCTTACTGCATTCTTCCCACAACTGCCCTTTATCATTCTACCAATGTCACCACACCAACCAATTTTTGTCCACCTCTTTCTCCTTCTCCAGCATCATGCAAGTGTTCCACCAGTAATAATAAGCCTATTTTGAGAAATCATGGCTCAATATTCTAGATGTCCCTAGTTCTTCAATGACCTCATATTTAACAGTAATTTCTTGTGGGCAAATATATATAATTTCCCATCCTTTAGTTTCTCGTTAATTAATTAAGAGAAGGTTTACTTTTTCAACCATTATGTTGGTCTCATAATGTAATAATATATTGCCTTCATGACGTAAGGAATTAAATCAGCGAGTGAAGCAATGGTGCAAACAGCGCTGAGCTCCAAAATCACACGACTTTGACAGTTTAACTAACAGATAATCTAAGACAATGCTTGATGCAAAGAAGTTCTAACTGAAGAATTTACAATCTGGTTTATAGAATCAATCACAAGAGTCTTGACTAATACAACCAATTAAAAAAAAACAGAAAAAAAGTAAGGAGAAAAATGAGAGTTAGAAAAGGTTTATCAGATGAAGAAGAAAGACTCATCAAGCAAGCAATATGTTAATTAACTAATGAAGGAGTTGGCTTAGTCCTACTGGATCATTAACAATATATTTTAGAAGTAAACTGTAAACCAAATAAATTAAGCAAATAAGATATTTACTCAGTCAATCTAAATTTCGAGACTCAGCAATTTTGTGTTACAATAACATGCCTGAGCTTTCCACGTCCCCAATTTTCCACTTATTAATTAAGGCTTAAAATAATATCACGTGGTTTTGGAGATACCCGATAATATTCAATCTAAAGTACTTATGCTGGTAAACTGAAAAGGGGTATAATCTTTACTTTGTTATAATGTTATTGATCGAAATATGATACTTTAAACTTTTTAAGTGCACCTTATATTGCAGAGTTGTACAACCAGTGATATTCTACGCTGATTGTCTGTTTTGTTTCACAAGTGTTACTTAATTTTGATGTAGAATATAATATTAAGTGGTGTAAATGCAAAAGTTTCACATTGATCATATAATATTAAGTGGTGTAAATGCAAAAGTTTCACATTGATCATAGAAAATAGTTATATGCCAAGTCCAAAGTTAAAATTTGAACAAGAATATTATTCCATATAATTTTTTGTCAAGTGTGTAATAGACAAGGACACTTGGTAAGTTTAACTGTTTATATACACACAAATTGATCACTAAATAGTACTGATAATAACTTTTGATTATTCGCACGTAAAATTTTAGTGTTTTACAATTCTGGAACATTGACATTTTGGAATAAAGAATTGAAGTTATATTACAAGGAAAAGACAGATTATATAATTTATCTGGGCAGGTTTAACAATTTCACTTCATAATCTGTGACATTTTGCCCATATTAACCTCATCTTTGATCAAATCTTGCGAGTACTTGTTCAGATATGACATCACCACCTTCATTAAATTTATAGATTTTGTTGAGTTCAATTTGAAATAAAAAACGATGAAAACAAAAAATTAGGGCTGCATCAAGCTATAAACCTGGTCTAATACATTATAAAACAACTTATGCATTTAATTAAAAAAATCATATTAGTTATGATGAAAGTGGCCAGCACTATATAAAGGATTACAATCCTTACATTTTCTATCAAGAAAAGCACAAATCATAATAAGTATATCCTGAGAAGAACAGAGAAGCACAGTATGGGAACCTCAGATGAGGCGAGGCACTTGCCTCTACTCATCTATGCACTAGTGTTCTGCATAATTTCTACCATCGTTGCTGCTGATGATGATCCTTACTATGGAGGCCAACCATACTACAGATATCCACCCTATAATGGAAATTATCCTCCTAACTATTACAAACCACCTCCTTATGAAACCAACTACCCTCCATATTACTATAAACCTCCACCTCCATATGAATACAAATACCCTCCCTATGAATACAAATCTCCTCCACCACCACCTTATTATAAGCACAAATACCCTCCATACCACAAAGATGGTGATGATGAATACAAATACCCTCCATATTACTACAAATCTCCACCACCTCCCTATGTCTACAAATCACCTCCACCACCACCTTATGTTTACAAGCCTCCCTATGTCTACAAGTCACCTCCACCACCACCTTATGTTTACAAGTCACCACCATATGAATACAAACCACCTCCATATGAATACAAATCTCCTCCATATGAATACAAGCCACCTCCATATGAATACAAATCTCCTCCATATGAATACAAGTCACCATCACCACCTCCTCCATATAAATAGAAATCTCCACCCCACTCACCTCCCTCCACCGTTACGTCCATAAGTCACCACCTCCTCCTCCATCACCTTCACCACCTCTTCCATGTATTACTGCGAGTCTTCACCTCCACCCGCATAATATTACCTCTTTACCTCACCCCTGCCATCCGTGTATTGAGCTAGGGGATTAAGCTATTTGAAGTTTTCCATTGAATAAGATTCAACATTGTTGCAGTTCGTTGGGCAACCTTCGTGAATAATATATATGGTCTGCGCCACAGCATTAGCCGTGCATGTTATGGATGTACCCATGTTGTAGTGTTATGTATGTTTCAGTGATTCATAGTGTCATATTTTATTATTGGTTGGTGTTTCCACTTCCTTCTCTATAACTTCATATACCTTTTAAAATAAAAATCTTGATTTGATAAAAATCTGATGTTACTTCACCCAAAAAGGAGACAGAACAGAAAACAAATTATTACAATCAACTTACGACAAAATTCTATATATACATTTTTATGCAACAGAAATGATAGCAAACTGTTTTATAAAACAGTTACTAATCTAATCAATTAGTCTAATAGACGTTTTTACCACGTAATATTATTAAACAGTCTAATAATCAGTTTAATATTTACTATCTAATAAACTTAGACAGTCTTAAAACACAGTTTATTATGTAATTGGTTTGATTATAATCTAATAACATTTTTTCTAGTAAACTCAGACAGTGATAGACACAATTTGTTGTCTAATAAATCTAGACAGCAAGCATAATTTACTATCTAACATCTTAGATGGTTTGATTCTAATCTAATAACATCTTTATACAGTCTTCCCACAATCTCATCCTGATTCATCTTCAAACTTCTTTTATGCATGTTCTATGAAATAAATACCTATTCGCTTGGAAATATTGTAGTATGTACAACTATCTGATACACTACGAATTTTAGATTTTTTTTGAAGTATGTAATTATAAAAGTTATTTTTTATAAATTTAAAGGAGTTTATTGGATTTTTTTTTATTGATTTAAGGGGGTGAATTCGATTTTTTTTTCCCTTGTGTATTGGATATTTTAAAAGATGATAAAAAGTTTTATAGATTTCAAAATGTTATGACTTATTAGATCATTTTTAAAACGATTTATAACGAAAATATTATAGTTTAAATTTTAATAGATTTATATATTAGAAGAACTTAGAAGATTTGAAATTATTTTATGTATTTATTCGTAATAAGTCTGTAGACTTTTAGAAAATATTAAAAATTATAAGAACTAATATAATGGTAGTAAAAATGATGAGGTTTGAGTAAATAAAAAAAATATTTTTCCAATTATTTTAATAGTTAATAGGCTCTAGTTTCATACTTTCATATACGAGTATCCTATATAGTAGTATCTTCTTCTTGTTCTTGAATTTGAACCATAATATATAAAAATATAAAAAGGATATGCAAACATTTTTTTATAAAAAAAATATGGTTAAAGAAGAAGGTGGATCATATTGTATGTCATTTTCAAAGATAAAAAGTCAGATACAATAAAAGTTAAAAGAAAAGAAGAAAAAGAAGAAGATGAAGACAGTACTGAAAAAAAAAACAACTTTAAAAGACTAAGGAGCAAAACAACCTAAGAACAAGAGGCTAAATGCTAGTTGCACAACCAATCTAGAATAAAAGAGCAAAGACTTCTCCCTCTTGTAAAACAAATCAGGAGAAGAAAAAAACATGCAGAGAAAAGCACCAGCAAACATCATAATCAACTTAAATCTTTTAGTATTATGAATAATGAATATTTTTTTCAATTGATCTCATTCAATGACTTGGAATAAATATAAAGACATAATATGTATTGTTACTTCAATATTTTGAGAGGCCCTGTAAGCCTGTTGGGACGTGACCCAAGAACGCTTGGCTGTTATTGTTGTTTCTGTGGTGCTGGACCCCGTGCCCACCCCTAGTTTGGATAGGGACATGGAGGCCCATTGAGGTATCCAACCTCAAGGTGGGTAATTTGGCCAAGGTAAAGACCCCCATTGTAGTTGTTGTTGTGGACTTCCACCAAATTGTTGCGGACCACCATTGTTGCCCTCTTGCACGGCCGAATTTACCACTGCCAGACTGGCGACCATCACCACCGATTTTTTTTCAGAATTCTTGCGATATCCAAATGACTTCCCACGGTGCTACTGGTGGTGTAGCTGATCCGAATGTGAGGAATTTGAGTCATAAACGAATTGGGAGACAACCACCATTGTCGACTCCGATCTCGTGGCAACCTCCTTTACCAATCCAGCTTCTTCAAGTATGAACATCGATTGAGCCTGATAAAATGAATGTAGGAGATCACTTTGCCAAATTAACATCCCTACACCGCGATATGCACTTGTGAGACTCGAAATAAGTTGAATGATGAGGCGACTCTCCGACAACGGTGCTCCAACATTTTTTAACTGATTAGCAAGGAGATTGAGACGTTGACAATATGTTGAAACATTCGAAAAATTCTCCATCTTAGTAGTGGAGAATTCGGCTTCAAGAGTTATCACACGAGAATGTTTGTTGTCTTGGAAAATATCTCTCAACTTATTCTATGTATCCATGACCGTGACATTGAGTTCAATAATTGTATGCAACAGGTCATTGAAGATGATTGCATAAAGTTAGGAAAGAACCTTAGCATCAAGAGTCGACTATAATTCCTTTTCATCCTCAGTCACAAGTACATTCTCTTTGCCAGTGGCAGGAGGAATAATGTGATGAACGGCCTTAGAACGTGCGGTAATTTTAAAAAGTTTTGTCCATGTAGAGTATTGGACATTCTTCATTTCAAGAGTGATGGAAATATGGTTCTTTATATTGGAAACCACAAGAGCCGGATGAAAAAAATTCTTATTGTTTGTCATGATAGTGAGAAGAAGAAGAAAAAGATAGATGAAGGGAAACGAAGAAAAAGAAGTGTAATTGTCTTAGAAATCTGATACCATAAAATAATATTTTCCTCAATTAATCTTATTCACTGACTTGAAATAAATACAATGTACAAATCATAATCTTAGGAAACTAATTATGTAACTAATAATATCATGTATATATTTAGAAAACTAATTATAAATTAAATATATGCTTACCTAAAATACAATAACAAAATATATTTACATATATCTTAATACATCACAGTTTTTGTGTTTGTATTTGGTGTACCATGTCTTATATATTTTGACATAAAGTATGTTGTAGAGTTCTTGTCCCGGTGTCTATTGTGTCAAAGTCTATGGATCATGCACAAATGACCATTTAGAAAACAAAAACGGAGAGAGATAGTAAATATGGAATTTTACCATATAAACTCTTTTGGAATCTCACCTTCTCAACTTTGGAAAGATAGAATGAGGTTCTGAGGTGATGTTTTATGCATTTATTTACCATCTTCAATTTTACTAGAAAGATACAAACTATCCAAACATAAATCATATAATACTCACACCACTAGAAATTTTTAAATTTTATGGGATTTTTTTTACCAAATTTATATGAAAATTCATAGAAAATAATTTTTTTATTATTTTCATACCAATTCTTATTAGCACGTAATTAACTCATGGATAAATATTCACAAAAATTTTCTACAAACTTTTTTGTTAAAAAATTTGTAAGTAATTTTTTACAAATTTAAATTTCTATATAATTTCTTGTCATTTAAATTTGTATATGTAAATTTTTAATAATTTCAAATTTGTAAGTAATTTAAAATTTACAAATGATTTCTTGGTAAATTTAGATTCATAGGAAACTTGGAGAATGAGAAGATGGTGGTCTTTATTTACCTTGCATAATGGAGAATTATTCAAGAGAGGATTTTCTAGTTCGCTATTGAAATGTTTAGATGAAGATCAATCCAAATATGTTATGAATGAACTACATATAATGGAACTTGTGGAATTCATTCATGGGTGGGGAGTATGACAACTTAGTCTGAATTGGATATTATTGGCCAACTTTACAACAAGAGGTGAAGGAGTTTCTAAAGAAGTGTGAAGCTTGTCAAAAGCTTGACCATGTGTTTAATGCACCTCTAAAGGAGCTTCATAGTGTATAAGCAACATGGACATTCCCTAAATAGGGTATTAACATACTTGGATCGTTCCTTACGACAAAAGGACAAGTGAAATTCTTTATTGTAACAATTCCTTACTTCATGAAATAGGTCCAAGCATAACCATTAGCTATTATCACGACTCATCAAGTTTAGAAATTTATCTAAAAAAATATCATTTGTAGGTGTAAAATTTCACACCCCACAATGATAGATGATGAAAGACAATTTATTGACAAAACTCTGGAATAATTCTTTGAAGGTTTAGATGTGACACACTCGATGACGTCGGTCAAACATCCTCAGGAAAATGAACAAGCAGAAGCTATTAATAAAGTCATTTTAAATGAGCTTAAACGAAAGCTCAACCAAGCAAAATGGTGTTAGGTTGAGAAGATCACGAGCATACTTTGGGATTATCATTGTACCTCTCAATCCTTAACCTAAGAAACACTCTTTCGGTTGACTTATGATATTGATGCCATGATACTCGTAAAGATCGGAGAAGAATCTTGGAGAAGGATTTTTTTTTTTTTATGAAAGTCATAATGCAAAAATCTACGAATTGAGTTGGATCTAGTTAATGAGATTTGAGACCTTGCCCATAGTTGAGAAGAAACTATTAAAAATAAGAGTTAGAGGAGATACAATACAAGAGTCATAGAGAGACACTTTCAAAAAGGAGATCTAGTATGAAGGAAAGTTGGAGAAACTTTAAAAAATCAAGCAAAAGGGAAATTAACACTAAATTGGGATGATCCATACTGAGTAATTATTTATTGCAAAATGGAGCATATAAATCACAAGAATTATCTAATGAAATGATACCTCAAACATGGAACACAACCCCACCTAAAGGAACACAACCCACTTAAAGGCATACTACAATTAAGGTAAGCTATGAAATATTTCATATCC